GTTAGTAGGAGATGGTGATTTTCGAAATATCTGTTTTATACTGATACATTTGTTTAGGTACCAAAAAAGAATTTCACATTTATTTAATTGTAAAATGTAAATCCATATGGTTCCCAAAGTCTTATTCTTTGGTTACTATATGAACTAAGTTTCGCCAAACTGTATATGTAGCTACCTATCCTAGACAACTAAAAAAATTACACGACAAGGTACTTTACTCTAGCTATTTCAACCACATCCTATTTCCTTTGTGAAGACATTTTTAAATATACGTGTTTCATTTCATGTACGTTTCATGTACCTACTAATGGATAAAATTGATTCAGAAAATTGTTTCAGAAAACTATAAAAACACATTACACAGTTGCATTGAAATATTGAATGTATTCTTGTCTGAGAGGAACCCAAAAATCGGTAGGTAACTAATTTTTAAATCAAAAATTAATTTTAAATGATTATTTATATTAGATGAGGATTTCAGAAAGATCAATAGTATTTTATTATTAATTACTATTAAGTAGGTTTAAGCACTGAATAAGCAGGATTATTCGTAGTGTAGACAGTGTAGTGTTAACAAATTGCGTGTACCGAGTTGATATAATATTATCTTTAGAAGTCAGAACGGGTTCCAAATGCGATAATTGTTACCCTGTTGATTGTTATCAACCCTGAATTAATAACCGTATAATAAAACAGTCATGTTACAAGCAATTCCAAATCATTTAATATTACACTTAAAATATGCACTATAAGATTGCAATATTGAGATTCCTCAATCCACCATGTCATGTTAATAATTTTTTATGATTTAAATTTTTTTTTATAATTGATCCAAAAAAATAATTTGGTCTTGGGACTATGTGGGATAGTCATTGGAAATACTTCATCACACAATATCCTATCCAAGGCAACTGCAGGATCTCAAGTAGCTGCTTGACAGTAATTATTGTGTGCCTACGTGGTGAACGCACAGATTCATAATCAAGCAAAACTTATAGTTTACCACGTATTGCAATGCATACAGTACTAAGTAGTTATGAGCTTATTATTATATACAGTGCTCGAAATGGAAAATTTTCTGAACCGGAACGCTTTTTTTTTAGTACATACCATAGAATTGGGGGCTTCACCCAACCAAAATTGCTAACCCTTTTTTAATAATAAATAAGTTGTGTCTATTATTTTATGAAACTCACATTATATTTTCAGCCCTTTTAAAAATTTAAATATATTTTTACCTTCTTTTACTTACTTACGAATATGTATATATTATATAAAATAAAAATATAAATATAAAAGAACTACTTAAGAACTTATATTTATTTAAATTCTATATTTATAATTAAAAAAGGTACAGCTTCAATACAATTTTTTTACAATAACCTCCACAGTGATTCGTAGGTCTTATCACACTTTCTTTTACGACTTGCGGTATCATCAGCTGAATGTCGACCATGATTTAAGATAATATAATATTATATTATCTTAAATCATGATGTCGACCATTCAATAACCAAGATCGAACGTATTTTTCTGGTTCGAATTTCGTTAGAGGTGGTCCATTGGACTTAGAACGAATTTACCCAATTTAGTAAAGAAGAACTCATATTTTTCGCACGGAATAATACACGCTATAGACTAATGTAATTAATGATCGGAAAAATATAATACATGTATTACTGCAGCTTAAACGATACTAAACACTAATCAAAACATACGAGTATCAATATGATCACGTGGGGACACAGACTTCTATACTACACTTCGATACTACACTCAATATATAGAAATCTGTGCGTGGGGATGTCAAAACGTCTTATGCACCATTCCATAGTATTTCGTTAAAACGTTACACGTTAAAAATACACATAGGTACGTATCGTGTGATTATAGACAAACTACGCTATCGGCGGACGACGAATGACGATTATCTAAAGATAAGCAATAAATTTACTAATGCGTAGCGCCGTCGCGGTCGTTTGTCGTTTATTAAATATTTTACAATGCACAATTCTGCAAAATGTTTAAATTTTACAAAAATATAGTAGGTACAGTAAAAATTTGTTTGAACCGGAACGATAAACGTATTTTTTTTACGAACCGGAACGCTAAAAATTTTTTTGTCGTGAACCGGAACTGCGTTCCGGTGCGTTCCTGTCCATTTCGAGCCCTGATTATATAATTAATAAATTATTTTCTTTACGCAGCATTAGTGTTGTATAAATTGAAAGTTATACCTAATAGGATAGATGAATATCACTTAAAAGTTCCAATTTAAAAAAAAGAACGATAAACATATTTTAATTAAGTCAATAAATTATTACATGAATTTTAAAAGGTGTAAGTGTAAAAGTAAAGTAAAACGTGCAGTGTTAGATTTTATATATTATAATATTGATCTATTCAGAGGTTTTTGTGTTAACCAGTACTTAATGATGTGTTGAATCAGATGAGGTAGAGTCATTAATGAGTACATTTGTTATATTGGTTGCAGGATACAAAGTATAATCTATTTGACTACGTAGGTATGTGGTCACTGGTCATTTTTGGCATAATCCATTCATAGCCATACCTACTATAATATTACTTTATCTTTATGAATATTTTTACTAATAGTATGTTTCCTCATTTCTGTGATATTTTCCTTTTAAATAACTTTCATCTTTATTTCAATAATCCATTATTCTACTTTCTTTTAAGCATTTTAAATACAAAATATACCACCAAGTATTTAAATACATTTGAAAAGTATTCTTTACAAACGTAAATTATTTAGACTTATTAACTTTTTAAACTGAACAATTTTTTAAAAATTAAAATTTTTTATTATGTTTTGAGTAAGCACCTAGTAAAATAGTATATTATATCAATATTATTATAACAACTAGTGAGTAAAAAATATTATTTAACTGTTTGATTATAGACAAATTTCGTATAACAAATTACCTACTATTATTATTATTATTATTTAGAATTTAGGAATATATTAATTACTATAAGTAAATATAAATCGATAAAATATATTTTATAATGTAAAATTTAGTTTTTTGTTTTACATGATAGACAATGCATCAATGATTTTACTGTTCTTCATGAGGTTTTGACTGATTTCTATCTCAATAGATAGCAGTTTTGAGTAATTTAATCTTCTTTAACTTTATTACCACAGTTTACAGAAAACCACGGTTATTGTAATCATTTGGAAAAGTTGTACCACCTTACGGATAATTCTGAATTTTGATTTTATAATTAGAGTTCAAAAATTATCACAACAATTGATAAACTTTTAATTTATAAACAAATATTATATAATCACGAATTGAGATTACTTTAATGCTTACACAATACACAGTCATACGTAAAGATCAAAATATATAGGTAACAAAAAATAAAATATTGAAATTGTTAGGTATACCCGGGGATTATCCCTAAACCCTCCTCTGTAAATTTACCTTGCATAATTATATCATTGACTATAAATATTGTTGGAGTTATTAAGTATAATATCTATTATCTACAATTATTGAAACAAAAAAAAAAATCAATTTAATGTTTGATAATACCTATATATATTATATTTTATAGTCTTCCATGTCATGAATACCGTTTACATTTCCCCAAGTAAATCAAATTGTTGATATTTTCTGTGTTACGGCCTAAAGCTAAATTGGATGGATGGAACTGTATTTTCTGAGATCAATAATATATTTGTAAAATTCTGTCATTATATGTTTAACTGTTAGGTTAAGGTCGCAGGTTTTACACTGAGGGAGTTCCTCATTAGTCATTAGGCAAACTAGTATTAATATTTAATAATATAATAATATTTGAGTTGGCCTACACATTTATTTCTGTCTCGGTTGATGTGCCTTTTCATATTATTACAATAACGAACACGTAAGAAATCTAAAACGACGAAAAAGGTTATGTACCTACCTTCAAAATGTCTGTACGACAGCACACAGCTCGGTGCACCACGTTGACACTTCAATGAACCTTCTCTGGCCTGTTTCATTATTTTTTTTATATTTAATATAAATTCAATTCAATTCCGAGTGAATCAACGAAGAATGTGTGGTTTTCTAGCAGCGATGTTATATATATATATATTTTTATAAGGTAGGTTTTTTTTCTTTATTTTTTTTGTGGACATTTTTTCCACGTAACACAAAAGCTCCAAAACTTTATATAAAACAATAGTTTTATTTATATCTAGACCGTGGTAGGCATCTACTTTGAAACTTTGAAAGTATAGAGTTTTACGATTTATTCAGTGGTCTCAGGAAAAACTTCAAAACCTACAGAACCATGAAAAATACGTAAACAACTACTACGATTAGTTAAGAATTGTTAGCGGCGCTCGTAATCATTTTTCAAATCCAATGATTTATCATTGCGTTTAAATGTTTGTATGTACAATAATAAAATGTGTCGAAATGAGCGATGCACGACTATTCGCCGACCAAAGCTCGATCTCTGTAATTTTTATACCTATAGGTATATTATATTATAGAGTATGTATGTTTTTATGTTGTTTTACTGATACGTCATCCGGTCATCAGGATGAATTAACACAGTGACCACTAATGAATTGTATAGTATAATATAAAAAGAGTAAGTGACACCCTGGGGAAGTAAAACTTCTTTCATGAGTATTGGAAACCGTGAAATTATAAGTGAGTTAGGGAGAGAGTGAGAAAAATCAATACAATAAAAACAAACTTGCACCCTGCCGCCGCCGCCGCCGTGCATGACTTGCAAAATAAATAAATAAACAAACGTGTCGTTTAATTTTTCATTACGATTTTTTTTCCACCCACACCTCAAGAAAGAAGTTTTACTTCAATAATATATTACCTATATAGTACTCCGTAATACACGTACCTATTATAAGTCATAGGCCTTAAAATATGTGATAGTGAATTAAAAATATTATATAAAAAATATGTGATTCGAACAAAATATATAATAATTATCATCTTATCGGCGCGTGAAAATGTCTACATAATAATATCTTGTTCTTCGATCACGTTCGACTGACGACCGCTGTGAACCGACGACGACTCGCCGATTTTCACTGACATCACTTTGGCCAAGTAATTTTCCCTCACAATTTCCTTAAAGAACTCTATTTGTTCGTCAGTCGCCTTGTTGGCGGTGGTCCATGCCGAGTAAACGAATTCGTACAATGTCACCATTCCCAACGACTCGGCAATGTGTTGGCTCACTTTGTCGGTGAACACGCCGGAGATCACTTGGATGTTGAACCATCCGTACTCGGGTAGTTGTCTCTCCATGACGTTTCTCAGCAACTCCGTGCCGATTCCTACCGGTAGAACAACATAATTAGACGGGGCTTAAAATAAACTTTTAAATATAATTTACGTTTTTAGAGACCACGTCATATTGTGCCATCATTGCTATCACTATAGTCTTGTAAAGTACTCGAGTAAAAGTTTATTTGAGTAAAAGTATTCAAATAATTGTTTAGTAATCAAAAACGTGTTTTAATTTTTAAATTCATATTTTGTTTTATTATTATGTTCAAAGTACCTATTTATTGTATTTAAAAACATACACTAATTTCCCAAGTGCATTTTATTTTCAGCTGATATATTTTCTATTTCTATTTAATCACGGTAAACATAGAAACAGTTTACGTTAATAAAAGAGTATTAAGAGTATCCTTTGAAGAATTTATATCAGGTAAAGAAAATTGAATAAATATGGATTTATTATTACTAGCTATTTAGTGATTTTGAATTCCATTTGTTTAATATTGCTAATCCTAAATTTGCTTTCGTCTCAACCTCACATCAATTATCACCTTTCAAAAATAGTGCTGTGCAATCTGTGAATGCTAATCCATCTCATTTATATTTAACTCGAGTAAATACTAAATTATTTACGAATACCAAAAAAATAATAGAGCCTAAAATGGTTTATTGAGGTATACCATATCTGACTGTTTGAAAATCAGTAATATTTTAACTTGTTTTTAAAGCTTATGGCCTATTACATAGATAAGATTTAAATCAGAGCTAGAAAATATTCCTACATATTTTTTTTTTTTAATTTTTCCAATTATTTCTCTTCTGAAACTGAATATGATTTACAAACGTCCAAAAATACTCCTAAACATAGTATCAAGAGAATCGTAAACTAAGTTAGCAAAATACGATAAAATATTTTGATTCATAACCACCAATATGTTCTTTAAATACAAATTGTCTTTCATTTTTTTTTTTTTTTTTAAAGAAAATTTGGCTTCAACAACGAGAGTTGAATTAGCCTGACATTATATTTTACATGGCATCTTGTTTCTTAAGATTAGGTGTTACATTATAATATTATATACAAGTTATAAATGTAACAATTTTTTTATAATGTTTGTGGCACTTAAAAATGCTAAGATTTTCATGTTTTGGCTTTCGTCGTTGGTGGGTACATTGTTTATTGTAGGATTTGGAATGGTTTTTATTGACTGATCGGCATAAATGTCTGCTTTTTCGTTTCCTGCAATACCAATGTGAGATGGACCCCACATGAATTCAATGTTTTTCTGTGTTGGGATTAAACATGCTTGAATGTTTGAGGTTGTATCATTTTTTGAGGATAGGTTTTGAAGTGATAGTAAGGTACTTAGGGAGTCACTGATCTTTCATTTATGGCGTTATTATTTATAATACACTTTTGTAGTTGAATTTTCTATTATTTTAGCTATTGCTGAGATCAACAAAATAGGAAGATAATTCAACGTAACCATTAAATCTTCCGTTTTGAAACTGGAATAATTAACGATTTTTTTTTGTGTACCTCCCTATTTGTGGAATAAATATTTTTAAAACTCATGATTGATAAATATAATATAATTGATTTTAAAATGTAATCGGAAATTTGTCATAATAAATTTGGATGAAATAACACAAAATCCTGGTGACGAACTCTTTCTTAATTTATTTTATTATAGCCATCAATTCGTTTTCAGAGAAACATTCATACTCTAGTTGATATCCATTAACTTAGTTATCATCATCGTTATTACGTTAGTTATACACTAGTTTCATTATTCTAAATACCAAAAAAAAATTTAGCTATATTTTCACCTACATTTACAAAATAATTATTAAATTTATTAATATAATGTTCATTATGAGTTTTATTATTTATATCAGTTAACATATTATTGTACAAAATGTCTGTGTTAGTATTTAGTTTTCAGTTGATTATTACCCATCAATAATAATATACCCTCAATAATAATATTCCAAATTTTTTTAGTAAGTACTTATCGGTTGAATGACTTTTAATTTAATGTTTATTATGATATTAATTTCTTACATATTTTATTTTTATATTTTTTTACAGCATTTACGCAATCACTATCATTATCGTATATCATTTGGGTTTTTTGGCATTTTATCTATCTTATCTCTTGTTCAAAAATATAATTCAATAAATCAGTCGTTATCCAAGGTTTTTTTTTCATTTTATACGAAGAATTATAATTATTCATCTTTATCATTGTGTTATTTAGTTAATTAGGTAGGTATCGAAGAATTCGTGAAATATATTTGTTTATGTATTAATTTTAGGCTCATAATTATCAATTTCCTAATTTTCTTTATTTTAAAACGTAGGTACATAAAAGTCTAATACCTAAATAAATTTATTTATTTGTAGTTTTTTTTTTTGTTTATTTTCATTATTGCCTGGATCTATAAATAATATATAGTTGTGATCTGTGATATTACTATATTAGACTGAAGGAAACATATGGTTAATACAAGAATTACCATCATAACTTTTACTATGGTATGGTAATTTATGTACCAAACTAAAATAATCCATTTGAGCCATTCAATTTAAGTTATTTAGTTTAAATTATCTTTACTGCCTTTTCCGATATTAATATTCCATTATTTTTGCCCATTCATCGCAATTCCATTAAGCAATATTGTTTTATCTTTTCGTTCGCTGATATAAACTTGTTTCTTTCATTTTCATCTGACAACCAAGCGGTTATTTTAATTTCCATTTTATATTCTACTCTATATGCATTTTCAACATTAGATTCTAAACTTTCATTAGGTCGATATTTCCTAAAATAATGATATACAATTTTCATTTTTACTTATTGGTCAATACCAACGATTTCAATGTGTTTAACAAATTACTTCTGCTCCAATTTTTGTTTTTATAGGTAACTGTATACCTCTGTTTCAATTTTTTTTATTATTTTCATAAAGTTGTTCATGCATTGGGATATTCTGTTCCCTAAGTTGTTTTATTTCATCTAAAATTATTCCTATCGTGGTATTAAATTGATCAAATTTATCGCTTATATAGCGTACCAGATCTTGCTAAAGTGTCTATGTAAACTTTTTATTGTTCACTTGTTGTTCTATTTTGTTATTCCACTCGTCTTTGCACTCCTTACATGACTATTTGTTTTTCGTATTCTTGGAAAATCAAGTTAATACATTTTCATTTATTCCTAGACAATTTATACCATCATAATTTTTAGGTAATGTCCTCCAACTTTACATTCTGAACACATTAATTCATCATCCTGAATGATAACTTCATTCCATTTTACTGTAAATTTTACTTAGTAATTATATAATTGAATGTACTTACCACACAATGTAAATATACTATACAGACATACAGTATCAAAATAATATAACCATAACGAAATATTCCGATAATTTACAAGAACCGATCACTTTGAAAGTCAGATTAAACCGTATTTGAAAGTAGATAACTAGGTATGTATCTAAAATTAGGTATTTTTTATTAAACCGAGTACCTAGACATAAAAATTTTATTAGAACTAAATACATTTTAAAATAAATACCTGTAACCGTATTCGAATATTTTTAAAAAGAATCTTTTACTAAAACATCACTAATTCCTTGAATTTGTCATTCCATACCGGTCTCCGATGTGGAGAATCGAAGAATTTTAACTTTGCTCACGTCCTACAACCAACTCTCATATAGTTTCACCCTCACAACCACGCAAACGGGGAAGTAAGCGTGCCTAGTTTTTACATTTGTTATAAATAATTTATATTGAACTAAACTATAAGCACTGGGGAAAAAAAATCTAGTCAAAAATTATAATAATTTAACTCTATATCTATATACAATTAGCTTTTAGTACTTATGTGAATTCATCAACTATAGGTACCGACAAAATAAATATTTAAAATTATTATATTTGATATAATGTTGACGTTTTATGTTAATCTCGTAGTGTGGTTTGTCTGGCGCGTTTGATGGTAACAACTAATAAGAGTGGGCCAGCGGTTGAAAATAATTTACCATATTTAAAAAAATAGTTGAAATAGATCAATCAAGTATAAATGTAAATACTTACATCTATGATATAAGGTACCCTGTCGATAGTGTCATCGCTCTACACTATAATAGTATAGGTAATATAATATAATAAGTAGGTCGTAGGTAGTTATATAGGTATTATGTCGTGGATTTAATCAATATGTAGATACTAATTAGTAATTTTTCAATGTTATTTGTTCATCAATTAAATTTTTTTAAATTGTTTTATATTGCATGTTGAACGGAAAAACTTGGTGCAGTGTAATATTATATGCTTGTGTTATTGTACTGAGTACGAGTACTGTTTTCTTCAACCCGAAAGGCCAACAATAGGACCCAATTAAAATATATTCAATATAGGTACCTACCACTACTACATAATATATTATTACGCACGTAAATGTAAATTAATTAGTAAAAAGTGTAAGCCTGGTATTTAGATTTATATACTAAATATTCTACACAATCTGATTTTTTATCGGGCAACTCTAATTATATTCAATCGATTTAAATTTGTTTATGAAAGCCACATCGAAGGTCTTATAAAACGCGAGTAATATTTACAATATTTTTTGTCTGTAGTATCTAAAATGTATAGTATATTAATAGTAGGTACAATACAAGTAATACAACACTTGTACACCTGTTTTGAGTTTAATTGCTTATAATTTAATGGAACTGTAACCAATTTAAAATAAGTTTCCATGGAGATGATTTTATAAAAAAATAACATTTTACTTTTGATGTACATTAAGTAAATTGCAATTTAATAGTATTCCCACCAGAGTGGGAATTAATATTCTTGTACATAAGAGCATTTTTATATGAAGGATACAATTTATTGCTTGATAGTAAAATGATGAAGCGTTTGTCGTTCCTCGTTAATAATTCAACAACATATTATTTTTAGTGTAGGTATACCTACTATTTACAAGATGAATAAAAATAAAATAAATACTGTAAAAAATGTAAAATAATAATGCAGCTATACCCCTAGGATATAAAATTATGCCTATTATGATATTAAATAATATTTATGAATATTTAAATTTATTAAAAAAAATATCTTAATACAGATTTGGAAGTAAATATTAGGAAATAACAAAAATTCAGTGAAAGTTACTAGATATTTCAATATTAATAAATACAATAAAACGATAACTACTGTATGAGAACATATTTTGAACCATTTTAAAAATATCAACTTGTAAATTAAAATTAATCAACTTATCCACATTCATATTATATCAAGTTGGATAATAGATACAAACCTTTATTTCTATATTGGGGAAGTACAAACCACAAATACACTTCTAACATTCTGTCCACGTTATTGTGTTTATATGCATTGCCCCTTTTAGTTAAATAATGTTTGAACTTTTGCAGCTCTTTCCATATCGTACCTTCATATACCTGTGGATTAAATATACGTATATAGTAGTTTTTTTTAAACTTTTTAAACAAATTGGTTTGTTGAAATGTTATGGTTCAATTGCTTTTTTTTTTTAAAAAATTAGTTTATAATAATACATATTAGTATAGTATAATAATACGTTAAAATAAATGAATAATAAATCACGAGGAAAAAATCGAAATTAAAATAAATATTGTTGTTTTGTGTTATCATACGTACAATTAATGTTAGCAGATTTTTTGATAAACATAGAATTGTATAAATTTATTGATATTATTGAGAAACAATCTTGTAGGACATAGGGTAGTTTCAATATAACATATGTATTTGTAATAATTGGGTCAAAAATTTGTTTATTCTACTGCTATAGGTATTCGTGTAAACTTATTGATTTTTTGCCGGATTAATGAAAACTTATAATTAATTAGTCATTGGCTGTATATTACTCACATATGTAGGTACTAAGAACTAGGAAGGTACTTGAAAAAAAGTTGTTACCCTGTCTTTACTGAATTCAGGATCTCTGTTATGTATTTCGTTGAACCGACATACTAGAAATCCGACTAAATTTCCAGTGTCCTGCTCCACAGCCACGGTTGAAAGTGTGTCTTTCATCCAAGTACGAACCAAGTACAAGTATTCTTCAACAGATCCATTGTCCGTATGCATTTGACTACTTTGAATTAACGGTTCATCATAAATGTAATGTTCCTATTCGTTTTTAGAAAATCGTAAATATCATAAAATGCTATAACTCATAAAATTCTATTGCGGTTTAACTACTGAACGAGTAAATGCAGTTGTGTCTTAAATTTAAACCAGAGTAAAGAATGTATTTATTTTACAATGATGCGTATTTTTTTGTGTCATCAATTTTTTGAGCAGAAAAATTCAATATTCAATATAAAGCACCTTTCTTCTGGGTAGAACAATTAATCTAATTAGTACTGGGGGGTTATAAAGTAGAAAACCCTAGTACTTTTCATACCTAGTGATTGGGAAAAGTTTAAAAAAAAACAGTGAGAAAACATGAATAGTTATGCAATACCAGATTTCCACAAAATCGATTTTAGTTTTTGGTTAAGCTCACAAAGGATTGATATAGATCACAATCAATCATTATCACAAAATATTAATCGTACTAGAATTTTATAGACATATGATGTACTGTGAAATTTTTATGTAAGAAAACATTTTTATTAGATTCAATTTCTTCTGTGATATAATTATATTGTAATTTTTATTAATTTAATATGTAATTTGTTCTTTTAATACTAGGTATATTTCTTGTACTACATTAATAGTCTTTTGTAATTGGGTTTTTACCAGTAAATAAATAAATAACAATAATAATATGTAAGATATAATTTATGTCAGAGATCATATAAATCAGAAATGCCAACTGTTACGAAAACGTCGAAAACTTTAACAAGTAATATTATAGAAATGTAAGAAAATTATATTATTTAACTTTAGATTTCGAATACTGGGATTTAATAGTCACCTGGTACCTATATAAAAAGACATGGTTTTATAAACATAAAACTTTTGACATTATCAATTTTTCTTTGTATTATGATTTACCTCGATCATTTTAAGGACTTCATCAAATCTATCAGATTTTAGTTCTTGTATTTCAATTTTGTCATATAACGTGGTCCAAACTCTTGGTGATTCAATTGCAGTTTCAACTAAATAGTCATCCTCCCAATCCTGCATTAAAATATTAGGTTCACTTTCAACCATATTGCTTACAAAGCATTAAAATTGTACTAAAAGTTAAATTTAAAACGTTTACTTCCCTAAAAGATTGATTACACAACAATTAAATTGTTATAAAATAAACAAAAATAAATAGCCTTTCTTGACACTTATTTTGTTGATTTTTAAAAATAATAATATAACCAGAGTATAAATAATATTATAATACTTCATATACTACCTATATTTTATATAGGTACTTATTATTGCATTTAAATTAAATTATCTCATAATTTCTGACTTGCATGGCGCAAGTGTTTAAATCATCTAAAGGTGAAGATAACTCAATTTATTCCCCTCCCTCTCACATACTTGCTGTGTTAAATTATGCTTATTACCTATGCAAAAAAAAAAATTTGAAGCAATGTTAGTTCAAGCAAATCAAAAAAACAATTTTTTTTAAATGGACATTTTAGATTATGTATGATCATGTTATGTATTATAAATTACAATGGTTCTACAATAATGTGTGTTTATATGTATATTATGTGGCTGAAAAGTGTTTTTAAAGTATAAATTGTTTTTATAGTGGAGGGAAATGATTCGATATTCAACTTCAAGAGTGGTTTATGGTAGGAAATCGGATCAAAAGTAAAAATTGTTTATATTGAATTAATGACGTTAAAGTAAAAATATATCATAATTATTATCGATCGTCATAACAACCAAAATTAATAAAGTTATTACAAAAGAGTATAAGCGAGTACGCTATATGTATGATATTTTGATAAAAAATGTTACTTAATTTTGGGGACCTATCGATTCCGCCAATGTGACATCGATTCCGCCATCCACCAATTTTTACCTCAACCTGCTGCAGCTGTCTATATCTAACTATTTCTGTTATAATAATAATAATATACCTACAAAATAATTCAACAATTAATTTAAATATTACAAATAAATTAATAATCAATATAATAATTTAATACAATACAATATTAAACATACAAAAAAATACAAATAAAATTTTTTATCATGTGTGACGCGGCCACGATGATTGTTTCAAGGTTGATCGGGGTCCGGTCGAAGTGTTTGGTTAGGATTGAGGTGATGAGAAGACGCAACACAAACACTTTAAGAATGTCACAAATTATGTATTATATAATATTACGACCAAAATATAATAATACATGACTTGCCGCTCGGGCAAATGAGTTTTAACGTCGGACGATATGTTATCGGTCCGACGTCGGTGGGAGAGTCAACCCGGTCGCGCTGCTTGCATCCCGTGGTGGTGGTTGGAGATAAGATAGACTGATCGCTATAGTGCTTGTACATTGTACTTACTACTAATGCGGGCCGAGTCATGTGTAAATTATATAAATATTACATATACGATGTTGTCAAAAGTTGTACAATATTATTATTTGTTTCTATACAATATACATAATATACAAAAAAAATATAGTTTAAAGTTGTACAATATTATTTTTCATACCGTGATGATGCCAAACTAATGAAATGCAAATGATTAATTTTTTTAGCTTTACAATTTACTATAATTGTTGTTTGGGAGATTTATTTTTTCCCTGGAGGAATCGATAGGTTGTTTTTAGACTACCTGTACTGGCGGAATCGTTGATGGCAGAATCGATATACCTTATCCCCTAGTATAAAAAGGTCTGGCGGAATCGATGAAACCCCCTTATTTTTAATAATTTTTAATATTATAAACCTGTTATTTTTGTTTCTACTCAAAGTTTGTTTTTGAACTTTTATTATTAATAGGTAATAGCCATATCATTTGGCACGGGTTGTTTAATATTTTGCTTTGTCTTGAAATTAAACGTCATTACATCCGGTATGGTCATTATACGAATATCATAATATCCGATAAAACGAGCACATAAATATCCGATAAAATGAGCACATAAATATCCGATAAAATGAGCACATAAAAGATCATAAAATAAAGATAACAGGATATTTTATTTTAAGCCGTTATACCTGGCGGCTGGCATGTCACTATAAACGGTGTCATTATAAACAATATCTACTGTACTTGGTACTTTGGAACAATATAAAAATTCTTCTCAGTTTACTAAAGAATCATGAACAGTAAAAATAATTAACTCAAAAATGTAAATATTTATAAGAAACACAATTTATTGATAAATTTCTTTTTGAAGATAATTGACAAAATATGAATATTAGCATTTTCTAGACATGGTACAAATAAAATTTGTTGGCTAATTTTCAGCAAAATAATTTTCGTGTTTTTTTTTTTCCTAAAAGTGTTGTTTACATTTTTATGCTACGTTGAAAACCTTGAAAACGTTGGTATAAATAGTTTCTGACAAGTTGTTCTTATAGTGGAGAAAAATGATTCAATCTTGAACTTCGAAATGCTTATAAAAAAAAATTGTTATTATGTACCTATTTTGAATATTTTTCAACTTTTACAATAACAATACATCACGAGCCTTGCATTAAATTTTCACTCTTTTTTATAAGCAATTAAAATTTTATTGATATTTATAGAAAAAAAAAACTAAAAAAGTTGAAAACTGAAAATGTCCGTAAACAGCTCAAAAAGATTCCAATTATTTTCAAAATTTTATTGTGTGTAGAAAATGCTAATATAAACATTCAGTGGAATTTTCAAGTATTTACAGTCATACAGTCATTCGTTTTTTAATATACGTTAATTTGTTTTAAAGTTGCACCAAAAACAAAAATCGATTTTCTCGAAAACAGATTTTGAGTAAAAATACCTGTTTTTCTATAACTTTTATGTTGTTCTTACCGGTGTTTTTAAAACTATTGAGAATTTTTAATTTTGACTTTCCGAATGCACCAACTAGATTCAATTATCAAACAAGATACTGTTGAAGAAAATCCAAGCATTTTTACTACCTCAAAAGGTGATGACAGACTAAAAATTAAAAAATTAAAAAATTAAAAACATTGTAAAATCAATATATTCATCGTTGCACTCAGAATTTAAAATGTAAAATAATCTGTTAGTACTAATAAGTTTCAAATTATAAAAATTTTAATCGTATATATCAACTTCGATATTTCTAATGGAGGTACATATGAATAATAATAATATCATTGACGAAAATTAAAAACATACTCTTAATAATAACCATACTTTTGTATAATTGGTAAACCTATATAGTTACAAATGTAAAATTAGATTCCTAGTTAAGTAAATGGTTTTATAATTAAATGTTATATTCTATTTCGTAAAAAAACTTTTGAGGTTGTAAAAGATTTTCAATTGTTTCGTTTCGCCATGCTGATGGATTTTATACTGATCAATTAATAATATTTAGTTAAAAAAAAAATAACAAATTGCCTGATCTAAAATTGAGAAATACAATAATTATAATTATTATAAGGGGAAGGCCTGGCAGTACTTTATGGTTTATAAATCATGTAATTTTATAACAAAATTAAATTTTTTAAACTAATATACATAGCAAAACTTACGGTCAACTTACTGTCCATAACACTTTTATATGAAACTTTTTTACGTTTTTTTTTTTAAAAATGCTTATAATTTGTGTTTTACTTTTTTTGTAAGAATACAAATTTTCCAAAAACCTGTGGTGATACCATTTGTTTTCTGGGGCATACAGGCCATGGCTTATACATTGTGTTGCACGATAAATGTGTCGAACTTCTAGAGGTGTTTCTACACCTCAAATGGAACAAAAAAAGACCTTGTGACCATAATCGAATTATCAATAATAAGGGTGATAATTTCCATGTTTGAGTTTTTTTGTTAAACGCAAGTTTGGTTCATAATAATGTTCATATCTGCTAAACCGTATTGTCGTAGGTATTCTAGGGATATTAAAAATTGGTTTTATATAAAATTTATTATAGTGTTTTAAATAAGTAGTTATTTACTTAAAGATATTTCATTAATGTGAGTTTTTATTTTATGATGTAAGTTTATTATATTTACCTGCTAGTTGTCTTCCAAATAAAAGTTGTTCATGGAGAAAACACAATAGATGGTTGAAATCGTTTATTATAGTAATATTTTCAAATTAGGACAGCTGAAGCAATATGAAAGGATGATTGTTAACTTATCAGGAGTGTGATTGATATGAACTTTGACGGATATTGATTGGCAGTAAGTTGGTTATTGTTAGTGGAATAATGTAATAAACTAATAAATGTTTTATTTGCGATAATGCCATAAGTCACATTCATTTTACATCATCAAGCCAAACTTTCGAAGGATGAAATTTTAGTTTATCGCCACTATATATTATTATTAATGTTAATCATGTAACTTTTTTATAACAAATTGAATTGAATAAAAAAAAAATACACTATAATTTGTACAAGGTTTAAATAAAAAGTTATTTTACCTAGCCAATAAAATTCAATTTTCTCTCAAATTTGTGGTACCTAGGTAGCTATAGTTCGTATTCCTTCATACAATTTTTGTAACTACATTGGTTACCTAAATGAAAAATAGGTTAAACTAGATAATTTTACTATTATTGATATATAGATTAATAATAATTAGTAGTAATAGTATAACAATATTCCGTTTTAAAGTATAAAGCTCGCTCACTTTTCGTTGTTTTAAAAAGATACCTATTGTCATACGATAAATTATTACTTATTTTACGAAGTATTAAATTTTTTAATTAATTAAGAAATAAATTGTATTCATTTTTTAAGATACGTTTAATATAATATGTAAAACTTATATTATAATTTCAATTGTAGAGGGTAAGTACTTGAGAAATTCGAGAACAAATTTATTATATTCATCTTTTTTTTCTGAGAATCCTTGTTTATTTCTGTGTGCAAAAGCATATTGGAATTTATGAATATTAATCAGTTTGCAACGGTTTTAATTTACAAGATAAGTGTATATTGTTGTAGGTACCTACCACTCTTATTGTTGAGCTTTTAATTCTTAATGAAATAGCATGTATAGTTTTGGGTGTATCACTAAGATGACATCATACACAATTATCAAATCTTAGTACATGGACTCGTATACTCTT